GTAACCTGAGGTGTAGGCCCTTTTCAAATTCAGATCTCTTTGTTCCTAATCACTAAGATAGAGGCTAGAAATAGCAGGTATATCCTTTTTTTTATATGTTGAAATTGGTCCACTTGGTAGCAAAAAATGCAAGATCCAACCTGCCAGAAGGAGAGTAATCATGAAGGAATTCTGCAGCTTGAAGGTTGGCTCTCACTCAGAAAGGATTTTTCCCCATTTGAAAGCAGTCCTCCTTGTTTAGGATTATTACTGTTTTATTTATCCAATGATTGTTTCATATAAAATGCATGAATAGTAATGGGAACAAGGAGTTCTTCTCTCAGTTAAGCACCATAATAACCTTGTTTTCCATTGCAATCATGTTTCCTTTGGCTCTTATCCTGTTTCTAACACAAGAAAACTTGGATTATTTTCTGCACAGTAAAATGGCTTCAGCAGAACGGGTGGAAAATACTTTCATCCCTAGGAAGGTAGGAGTTCAAATAGGACCTCAGCATTTCACATCATGCATGTGAGAGTGGTAGTATCAGAAATGACTGCTGTACAGTAGTGATGCTGACAAGTGGTGATGATAAGCTACTGATCAAATGGAAAGCATGGTACAAATTCTTATCACCTACCACCATCCTGACATTTCGCCTTTTCACCTCTGAATACCTTTATAGCCAGGTTTTGCGATCAGATGTCTCTTGTGACTGATGCATTCCTCTGCCATTGCAAATACAAATGTAGTTTCAGTCAGAGTAGGGGAACATTTTTCAAATAAATAAATATTTATTTATTTTAAAACCTCCCCTGAGCTTTTAACAAAACTTAAACAAATCATGTAATGCTGAGTTTTGTAAAAATCAATCTTAATTCTATTCCCTGCCTGTGATCCCTGGGATTGTTAGGTACCCTAAATATCCCAATCCAACAAGAAAATCTGTTCTTGCACTATTTTCAGCCTGATCTAGACCAAAACAGTTAAAAACAATCATATAAACTTATTCTAGGAACAAAACAAATCCTAAAAGCCTTTTAGGTTTAGCTATCACTAATGGAACAGCATTTTATATTATATTCCACATGGAATACAATATAAAACATCTTCAGATAAACTGTAACAAAAGTGAATTTCCCAAAGATTAAGGAGGCTAAGAAAATAGAAAAAAAATAACCTACTTTCTCAGGCAGCCACAGTTTTTAGAGACACCATACTAGACACATTTTTTTTTTCCTCCCTGAAATATTCACAGGTCACAAAAACTCATTCAAATCTACTGTATATCATGGTAAAATGAAACATAAAATAATATTTATGCATTTTTCCCTTTTATTTAATTTTTCTAAGCCTGCAGAATAATATACCATAAAGTCATCCAAGAGGCACAATATCACAAAAATACGTTCCATTTTCTTCCACAGTAAAATACCACAACAAAGGGAATCAAACAAGTTCAGGGATTTTGCCGTGGGAAATATAACCCACGCTGAACCTGTTTACTTGATTCGAGAGATGTAGAAACTGAGGGATCAGTACCTTCATAACATCTTGCTGCCACCTATTTAATTTCACATTGTTACATTGAAATGTATCAGATTAGACCTTTTTAGAATCAGCAAAATGGATGTAGATGGCTACATCTCAAAAATACCAGTAAGGACTCAAAATATACATGCTTATTTAAATGGAAAATGAATCAAGTACATTGTTTGAACACAGTGTATATGCTCATCTAAAATATGGGCATGATTCACTACTTCAATACTTAGTAATGGAATTACACAAGTGAAAAGCTGCAGTAATGCAAAGGTGATTCAGGTCATTTCACAGTTTACAGTTTTTCCATAACTGCACAAGCTTAAACTGTTACACTGAAGTGCTACATATTTGATCTCCCACTGGGAAATGATTGCTGCACAACACTTGAAACTGAGCCACTTAGATTGGTAAATATGGATACAGCAGCCTAACTTTTAGGCATCTCTTTTTTATAATTATGGCCTATATATTTAAACTACTATGCAAGTAAGGAAACAGTTGGCATTAGGCTTTTAGCTGCTTTCCATTGCTGTTAGCAATCTAATTCTCCAATCTTTGGTTAATAGAGAAAACTGTATCCATAAGAGCTTCATATGATGTCATAAAGAGTTATAATCTCCAATAAACCATAAACAGTGGGAACAAAAGAAGTCTTGTAAAAACTCCCCCAAAATAAAGACCAAAGCTAAACAAAAAAATATCCTGTTGGCAAGAGACACTCCATAATGGAAAAAAAAATGGCATAATTGTTAACAGAATGCTTTTCTCAGTTTCCCCAAATAATTCTACATAGCATTTATCTATAGCCTTAAGCATACTGTAGAAACATGATCTAATTAGTTAATGAATCATAAGGTGATTACCTCAGTGGTGGGGAAACAGTGTCAATGTTATAAATTGCAACAGAAATTTGGATAGACCCAAACTTAGGGTAGACAGGTGATAACCAAAGGTCTATTGTTATAGCAAATCATTTTATAGCTTGCAAATTATTTAAAACATTTTAAACATGAAATACATTAAATATATTATACCTGTATATCCTGTATCCTTACAGAAGGGCACAGCTGGAAAGCACTAATGTGCCCTTCTGTAAGTGCCCAATAGCATGACAATCTGAACCCTCATTACGTGAGGGTTCAGATGATGGTGCTCCAAAGTGGACTGCCATCATGAACTTCTGTCAGCACATGCTGGGCGCAGGTCTGGGTTGATGCAGCCCAGCCCTGCTCCTGGTGTCATTTTAGAATGGGAAATAGACATGGGAGGGAAGGGAGTTCTGTCTGGGGTTTGCCCACCTTGTGCTAGAGGGTGGAGTGGGTAGATTGGAGCCCCCCTGAGGTCTGGGAGGGCTCCAATCCACCTGCCCAACCTTCAGAACAGGCTAGGCAAACCCCAGACTGAGCTCCCTCCCTTGTCCCCCTCCAATTCTGAATACAGCAGTGAATCTGGGATGGTGGATGGGGCTAGGGGAGAGTGCATGCACGCATGCAGACACTCCAAACTGGACTTCAAACCCCAATCTGCTGGACGTAACAGTGAACTTCTGTTGGGTCTGGGGGAATGCTATAACTCATGGCTCTTCCTGTGAAGCACCAGGAGTTACAGCATGAAGCTGTCAGCCCCTACAGAGGCATATTATCAACATGAATAACCAGAGGGTCCCTATGAACTAGACTGCCCCTTAAGACTGAGTCCTGGGTAAGATATAGTGTACAGCTGGCTTGCCATAGGAAGGAATTGTGATAGCTTCACAACCTTTACCATGTTTCCTGTTTGCTTTGGGGTGGTAACAAGTTACTGCAGGGGGGAAATTATTTCCACATTCACCTCGACTAGCTTTTCTATCCATTAGGTGATGACGTAGGAGAAGGAAGAAAAAGCTTTGCTCATTTGTTTCACTCCAGTCTACTTTGTCCAGGAAGGAATATTGAGGGGGTGACAATACTCGCAATAGCTCAATGTGCAATATGGGTAGACCAAGCAGTATATTATACTTTCCTAAATGAGTAAAGCAAAGCCTAAAATATATTATAATGCTGGAATCAAATCAACTATTTTTTCTGAAGATATCTGGATTCTCCAGTAGAGAAAGAAGAAGGTGATAAACCCCTTGCAAATCTACCCTCAATTTATTATTTTTTGGAAGTTAATAATTTTTCTCCCTGTACCACCAGAACTGCTCTTTCAGTCATATTGTTTGACCTATCACTAGCTTTTTTTTCACTGGCAAAACTGGACAGCTATACTTGAACCAAAACAATATGTGATTGGAGGAAACAGCATCAGAGCTCCATGGTTTGTTGTAACTTTTTCAAGGTTGTACACTTCAACGTTGTTAGCTGCCAACTCGTTCTCTGAAGTTTTGTTTTTAAAAAAATGATGCTCACCTTAGATTAACTTAAAAAAGCACATTGTCTTCTGAAAAAACAATCAGTTACCATGTAATGTGTAAGATCATCCCTTACTTTATACACATTTCTATTACTGAGAAAAGTATAAAAACAAGAAATCTGGTTTTATGAAACAAATTGTGCATCTCTCTTTCATTAATAGACTCTTTTTAGGGCCAACCCTCAAGCATGTTCCAGGTACTAATGAATATGATTTTTTTAAATGGTCAACAAATAGGTTGAAATGGCAAAATTAGAGATGCTACAAACCCACTGCACTCTCACTGCTTGAAGACAATACTTGCATTTGACTTTGTCTCCCCCGTGGCTTCTTAACTGACTCATTTTAAATTGCATTGTGTTTTTCTAGGAGAGATGTCTGACAGAGAATATCAATGTATACCACTTAGTCACAGAGAAACCTCCCCCCCCACGTGAAATGAAATATTGCAGACTGAAAAATATTTTAACAGTTTAAAAAAACATTGTTTAAGATACTTGTAGCTATAAATCTTGGGCATATTGGAAATTACCCTTTTTTTTTTTTTTAAATAGTGCTACAAAGGGATTACTTTTTGCATTTGTGCTAGGTACCAGTTAAAGCAACAGTGAAAGAATGGAAATAATTTCTAAATAGTGACTGTCTCTCCAATCTTGCATAGATGGGCGTGTGGCAAAAATATGAGTTTCTGCTGCATCCTTAGCCCCATCCTGTAAAAGGACAAAGTCAGCATAGATGTTCTGCTATTGGTTCCATATAGACTCTATTCCCAGAGAAATGGGAGAAGTAGGAGGGAAAGGTATTCCCTGGGGCCATGCAATGGACTTTCCATCTGTATTTACAGTGAAGACACAACTGAGCCCTCATTCTAATGTTTTCTCTTTTTAGGAGAAAAACCTGATGTGCTATTTCTGATATACCAAAAAAAAAAATTAAAAAAAAGACAAAGAAAAAAAAAAAGAAAAAGAAGTGTAAGAACATATGCTAAAAGGATTCAGTAGCTGACCCTTCCAGGATTTATTTCACAGAATTTATACCAAAGGATCAAAAAATTATAAAAGGTAAGAAGTAGTAATCTTACTTTGATAATCATCCAGTGTCCTGATCGTTTTGATGCCATTTTGGTATCTGAAAAGAAAAGAAAACTAGACTACTATTCAACATTACAGGAAGACCCTGATGCCCTTGTATGCCTCAGAGCAGAGGCCATTCTGTTGGTCTCCCATGAGCAGCTATTTGCTAAGAGGATTTCTTTTAGATGTGTTCACTCCCTCAATACAATAGGGAAGTCTGAATTTGATTCTTGCTAGGATATGACTGCTTTAAATTTAGGGCTTTTATAGCAATATATCTGCTGAGGTATCTGCGTATGCTGACCTGCCTTCTAGGCATGTCAGTATAATACCTTGCCTGGAAGGCAGACATGTTGACTACTGATTCTTTGGGAAGTCAAATAATGTATTTTATATGATTTCAAGGGCCATCCCTATTGATAACTTGCCTCAAGGACTGGTTTATACAATTATCAGCCTGGAAGGTACCTAAACACTGACCTGCTTTCTGTGCAGAAATTAATATAGTTTAACCTTTCTTTAAGTAACTAGGAAAAGAAGAATTAATAGATTTTAATTGGTTGGTAATTGTTTTTTAACTAAATATGAGATATAAATATAAAGTTAAACTGTTTCACAGGTCATTGGAGTGTCTCTGAGAGGTTGTTTTTTTAAAGTTTCCAGTATTGTTATGAGGTCAAGAGATATCATGATGCAAGACAAGCTTTCTGGATTAGAAGTATGTATACTTCTAATGCATGTATGAAACCGCTTCCTACAGGGTAGCAGAAATTCCAAACTGAGAGGGAGAATAAAAAATTCTCCTTTTTGTTCCTAAAGCTTAATGCTACTATCAAAATCTGGTGTAGTGAAGAATGACTTATCCAGTGAATTTCAGAGATATTCAAAGCTTTCTAGGGGATTTACTCATATAATTTCTTTTCAAATACATTAATGCTGTGCAACTATCTTCTCTGGACCACATGGAAAGCCTCAACCCCTGTCTCTTTGTCTTTTTGTGCATTGTTTGAGTGAAATATTGGATCCAATGGACTTAGTGGTAAGCTCCCATTAACTTCACAGGGTCCAGTATCTACAAAGTTTCATAGAAGGAACTATTTTGGAATCTTTCTTCCCTTTAAGTTTGATCCTCAGGATTTCTGAACATCTTAATCTCCCACAGATACCTCTGGGTATGATTGCTAGTCTCTAGGATCATGCTCCTTAGGACCCCACACCTTTTTTGAAGAGAGGAAGTATGCTACAGATTGTACTGAACCTAATCTGAGAGCCCCAAAGGAAAGAAAACCCAGCGGTATCCATTTTTCGGAATTAGAGAAAAGATAAATTCACAACACTTAAACTTCAACCAATCTGAAAAATAAACTCAGCAGGAGTTCTGGTATCTTTTGTTCTTCTATCAAGAAACACATGGAAATGTGTTTTTAATAAAAATAATGCTTGTGTCTATTAATATAGTAGGAATGCAATGCCAGCCTTATTATCTATCAAGCACAAGCTTACATTTCTGTGCTGCTGAGACCAGGCTAGGGAGAATGCTCTTGTCCCCCAAACCTCCTTAATACTTGCATACACTTACTTTTGTCCCATCTCTGCCATTGTAACAGAGATATAAATAACTGCCCAACAGATAACCCTTTACCCAGTGAAACCATCTTTTGTGACAAACTGTAAACTTGTTAAAAGAATGAAGTCTCTTCTGCTTCAACAATCCTCTGTCCTGCAAGTTACTGTAAATGAAAGCAGGGTAACATAGTTCCCTCGTCCTCCCACCATCAAATGGGAAAGAATTAAAAGAAGAATAATAGGAAAAAAATGTTTCACTCCTTTGGAGATCACACTCCTCCTTATAAAGTCATTTATATTCTACATGAACCAAGGATACTACGGAAACCTATTAATTCTGCTTTTCCTGCAGAATTGGCATAAAGTGGGAAGAAAGTTTCAGAAGATGCATGTATATAAGAAGGTGTTACAAATGTACTGTATAATATTAGTAGCATTAAGCAGCTTTCACTAACATTCAAAGCACACCCATGGCCATGAATTAATATTATCACCATCTTATCATGAATATACTTCTTTCTTCAAAGAGGACAATTCTGTATAAAAATTTACAAAAAAATAATTGAAAATAATTTCTAAGTCTTTGAGAAACCCTTGGGTTAACAATTTAACTATTTTTTTCCATTGAGAAGAGATCCCCTTCTCTCAATGATAAGTGAAAGGGAGGGGGGAAAAGCATGTTAAGAACACTTACCACCTGGAAATCAGGTTTCAAAAGGGCACTATAAGACAACAGCCACTTGTCTTTGCCAGTTGAAAGGTCCAGCTATAAGATAATCATCCTAGTTCCTATAAAAGGTGATTTTAGAGTAATTTCAGTAGTAAGCAAGCTGCCAGAAAACAGGTTATGAAACAAATTTGGTGTCCGTAATAACACCTGGAACACAATTTTGATATCAATCAAATGCTATATCTAAGCAGCACTGCATCACAAACATGTTATGCAAATATTTATACATCAGAAATTTCTCCATCAAAAATACACTATTAGAAGATACTACTTGTTTGTATAGATCTTGCAAGCTGTGGCTTATATCTTGATGTACATCCAGATTTTTTATACAATCCTAATGAAATATCTTTTCAGAGATTTTGGGGAAAAAATTAGGCATGAAGGTATTGATCTAAACATTTTTATTTAGAAAGTTATGACTACTTAGCCACCCTAAGACTTGAATTTCAGAAATCACAATCACAAAATCAGAAGATCTAAAATAATCCAGCACAACAAAAATATTTAGTGATAACCTGCATGAAAAACAGCAGTTTGGGTAGAGACTCCCATAGAATTAGAATATAATCAGAAATATTAAATTATTATTAAATACATGTCCCTGAAAAATAATTATAGTACAGTCAGAGCATGTACCATGGTGCATAGTCTAGTATACTCAGAGCTCAGAATTACCTTTCAGTTTAATTTGTCTCATTTTGTCTCACCCCATAACAAGTTACTCAGGCTCCCTGTGCATAGTTTTTCTTATGCTGCTCATTCTGCATATGCAATGTGAACTCATTTTGAATTAGCCATTAGTTGCCACAAAATGCCATCCTTACTCAGTAGGTGACTGGAGAGGAACATAGGTAAAGCTTATCAATTTTCCTTTTTACTATCCTGCTCTCAGGTAGGGGCTCCTATATGATCAGATAAGACTGGGAAAACTAACAGTTTTTACCATGAATAGAGTATTTTAAATGCTATTTTGATATGCTGTAATTAATCTGGTGTATTGCCTGAATCCTTTCATGCTTGGTTTTAGACTGCTTTCTTTAAGGTACTTGGATAAAGAAAAACAATATGCCTGTCATACTGGATTTTTACTCTAATTAGTGTTTTTAAATTCAGCTGAAGGCAGATAAGAGGTTTTTGAAAACCTAGAAATTTCCAGTAACTGACATGAATGAAACGTATTGTTCTTTTTCTTCCTATTTCACCTACATTAATGAAACTGGTAATAGTTTAGGACCCCATGCCATTTTGTCATGTAGTTACAGCTTGTCCTTTCACAAAAGAAAATTAGAAGACTGCTGAGTGTTATAGATATTAATGGTTGTTAAAAAAGTATAATAAAAGGCTTCTTTTCTAAAGCACTGCTAAGCTTTTATGTCATTATTCAAGAATGACTAATGGATTCAAAGGAGAATAGTGCTGATCTCCAAGGAAGCAGTGATGAGCAGCAAGAGAGAAGGACTGAAAGGGAGCAGTTTGTCATGTAGGGCCCTAATACCAGGGCTGTGTGTAATGAATGGCTTCAACTGAAGTGAAAGTGAAAAATTCTCTCGAATGTGATCAGGAAGCTTGTCACTCTGGAAGGGAGATACCTCAAATCCGTAAGGTTGAAGAGGTTGCTGGGCAATCCTGAAAAAAAAAGAAGATAAAACAAAAAGACAATGAAGTGCAGGTATACCCATACTAGCTTATTAACATATTCTCTTGTAAGGAATTCTAGTATCAATAATAAAAAACAAACTGAGGTGGTCCAAAACGGAGATGATCCAAACTGATAGTGTACTTTTTGTGATTATCTATGCTTTGTGTTTTTGCATTTACTTAAGTACTGAGTCATTAAATACATTACACTGAAAACTGAAACCCCCCTTTTATTACTATGCAACAATTAGCAACTACTGTGGAAATTCTGTAATAATGATTATTATATTCAACTAAGTATAAAAAACAACAATGATTTTCCAGTTTTGTTTGTTTGCTTACTTTATTTGCTATAACTGAAGTCAATGGGCATCTTTTTATTGACTACAAAGAAATTTTGAATTAGATTATATGTATCTACAGCATGTCACTTTAAAAGGGTGGGCAGCATCTGCTCCACCCTGAGCTGTCATAGAAAAATTAAATAGTATTAAGTAGGCTTTGAATGATGCTGTAGCTCTGATGGTCCAGGAAATATGGAGGGGGCAAAGATTTTTTGAAGTAATACCTTTTATTGGACCAAGTGCATGGTTAGGACAAAAGATATCATCCACAAAAATCCTTAATAGTATTAATACAATTAACATTTTAAATTAATTAATGAATTAACAGTATTAATATTCTTAGAGGACAAGTACCATATGCTAAATTTCAGGGTGTAGGTGGAATTTAAAGATAAAGGCCCTGTCCTGGACAGCTATTCATGGACAATTTCATCCGTATGGAATGAACTACATCTTTAGGGCAAAGCGTATCTTTGGCATTTCCTAAAAGGGGGTACTAAAATTATACAGAGTCAAATTTCTGTATTATCCATGTATATTAACAAGGTAGAAGGGTACTGACATTTTTACTTTAATGAATTATGTATGGCTTCATAGAGTAACTCTACAGTAACAGTACTGAGGAAAATACAGTATCTATTCATCTATTAAATTAAATTGCCCTCTTTCAAGTGATCATGTCCTTTTTTATTTCCTAAGGAAACCTGGGCATTATATGCAAGGAATATAGAAAGCATTCATGCAGCTGAAATTTAAAGGGCTGCATGTATGTTGCTTTGATCTAGTCTGACCTGTTTCTTGTGTTATCAGTACTCTGTTTTGGAATAAATGATTATTATATATCATCAGTTGTTAAATACTAATACCAGTTTTCTAGCCTTTTTAAATTAAATTAGAGGCTATTTTTCCTGTCTCTATTTTTGCTGAAATATTAAACAGTAATTGGAACTCTAAAGTGCATGTTCACTCCAAAATGATCTGTCTGCTGCCAACCCATTCAGACTGTTTATTTCCTTCCACAACACTCTTTACACATATATATTTATAGAAATGTGACAAATAAAAAACACCCAGGAGTGCTTTATTCAAAGAGTGTCTAAGTTAATGCATCTCCAGGGATATCTTTTCAAAATGGTTCATTTAGAGTTATGAACAAAATTATAGGATGCATCAGTTTGAAAAACTACGTCTATATATTAGAAGTACAGATTAATACAATTGATGACGTTGTTCCAGAAAGAAAATGCACTCTGAAATGATATATCTGTAGTTTTCTATCTTTAATCAGAAAGCTAATCATGAATTAAAAATGGCATATGGTGCATTTGGATCAATGTCTTGAAAAAATGAGAATGGTTTAGAAATAAAATTGTGCAATAGCTATTGTGTTTCACGTCTTGAAATAGTTAGAAATAAAAGCTAGACTTAACCACAAACCCAAAGAACCAAAATAGATTTTTTCAGACATTTCCATACTCAGTTCAGCCCATCAATGTTCTTTATCTATCTATACATCACTATGGCTACCATGAACTGAATCAGATTATTTGAATGAACACTGAAAATGATCTATTTCTTTTTAAAGTGATCTTCTTTAATTAACTGGATAGAAAAAAATCTTTGTTAAGCAATAAGCCATTAATTGTATAACAAAGGGCATACTTTAAGCTACAGGATCATAGATTGGGTCTTGCTTTTACAAACCTTTGCTGATGCCGGGAACTGTACTGGGAACATAATCTAAGTAAGATGGAGTAGGGGCAGGGGTGGACAGCATCATGGGGCTAGAGGGTCCATGAAGGGTTGGTTGTGGGGGGGAAGGAGTTAGCAAGTCCACAGCGGGTACTATTTGTCTGGGAGTAGAGGGAGCCGGAGGGCTTAAAATAGTCCAGTCAGGGTGTGTGTGTGTCTGTGTATGTGGGGATGGGAGTGTAGGAAAAGCACACCCCTGGGTGGGCAGCACAGCTGGGGTAAGCAGCTGGGCTTTCCCAGCCCCAGGGCTGCACTCCAAATATGTACGTATGTTCAGTAGATGAGGCTAACCCATGCCTGATCTAACTTAGTGCACTTTCTATGGTGTCCTAAGTCAGATTGGGCTAGCCATTTTTTCCCCAGTCTAACCTCCCCAAACATATATAGAGATCAGCACTTAGATCAGCCTAACTGAAGTTAGGTTGATCTAAGTATAATGTCTGCATGTACCCAAAGTTATCATTAATGAAATATGACAGGGAAGATGTCATTATAGATTGAGTTTCCAAATATAGTAAAAGAGTTGCCATCACAGTTGTTTTCAAAAAACGCTTCCACTGTAATTTTTAAATTTGGGCAAAGACCAGCAGAGGAACTAACATGGGGCAACAGGCCCCAGGACCAGTGCTAACACTCCAGTACCCCAGCAGTGTGTAAGCACAACATTTTTTTCCCCCAGAAAACACATCATCCTTATTTGGAAATATCGGTACATGTGGTAATTGAAGGAAATACACTTGCTTTATTGTGGTTATAAAACCCAGGCAGGTTAACTTTAGTTAATAAAAGAAATATACCAACAACTACCATCCTGCATGCGTTTCCTTGCCTTATGTTCTTCACCTCTGCTTGAATGTATGTCAGAAGATGTCTAGGATCCCTTTGGTCCCCAATCCCAGATATAAAACACAGAGTTCTGACAACACATGCACAGACTCAAAAATATAAATATATATATATATATATATATAGAGAGAGAGAGAGAGAGAGAGATTCCCCATATATAGACCCCCCCCCCCCACACACACACACACATATATATATATATATATATATATATATGGAGGCATTCACTAATATATCAATATCATAATCTCAGGATTGAGAAATTATTAATAAAATGCAAATTATCAGTCATCAATGTCCCTTTTTTCTGATCTGTCATTGTGCTAGTAGATCTATGCATTTGGATTGTCTGAGAATTTGTACTTAAAAATAATGTATGATTTATTACAGTACAGGCCTGCTGATAGTCAGCATGACTGACTATGTTAAGGGTTGTTGTTTTTTTTTTGTCAGCTAACCTCTGTCACATACTAGAGGAAAAGATGATAATCTGTATATTTACACTCAGTATATCATTTATTTCCTGTACCAGAAAAGTCCCTGCATGGCAGAAGCCCTAACAGTACTATTTACAAAAGTAGCGCTGATTGTTAAGAGTCAGAAGTGCAGGTATTATGTCTGCATAGTATATAAACTAACAATCATTATTAATATCAGTGAACACATGCACTTATGACCAGAATGGGATTAAGGTGGTTATGTATTACACATCCTCACAAGGCTGTCATCTGGGTGATGTACTGTGTAACACTAATAGCTATTGCTCTGATGAAGTATAATACCAACTGCCATCACTCCAGTAATGTATTTTGTCACGGCAATAGAACCTACACTAAAATATATCATCAGAGCAGTTGCAAATGTAATATATCCTCAGAGCAAGAGCCCTCCATAATGTGTTCCCTGATAGATCATTCCATGTGTTATTCTAATTAGGATTCTATTTTCCTTTTGTGGGGTGGGGGTATGAATGTTTGCTCTCGACAGCAAATAGGCCTAAAATGAAATGGCCTTATGCTCTAACCTTTAACGCTTACATTTCTCTTCCTGCTTGCGTCCTGAGCTCATCTCTTTTACCTGAGTTGTTATTATTATTATTTTTTAAATTATAATTGTCAGTATCTGGTAGGAGGTCTTTTCCCTCTCCTCTTTTCCATTGTCAACTCTACCCCGCTTCTTTAGTCTCTAAATTCCAGGGTCTCTGCCAGCATTCTATCTTTCTACCCACTCCTCTTTTACCTCTTCTTTTCCCTTCGCTATTTCTGAATTAAAAAAAAAAAAGTCATTTTGCTTCCTTCTGAAGAGGTATCCAAGTTCTCATACATATCCATATAAAACAGTAGGCATTATAATGCTCTTCTGTATCTGAAGCTTGTTCTTTTTCAGTAATTGTTTGAAGTCAAAGATTATGTATAGAGTAGGTGCAAGTGCTTAGGGCCTGCTTCAGGACTGCACTCCAAGCTATGAAAGCCATATAGACACACCCTAAGTCTATATAAATGTATCAAAAATATAATTTTATGCAATGAGGAGATATGTGCTGTAACATTTATGATCTACTTTGTCCCCATTTTCCAAAAATAGAGCAGAAGACTGCTTCCTTCCATCCCTATAGAATTCTTTTTCAGGCCTCCAAAGAAGCAAATTAGTGTATATGGTCCTTGACATAAATTATCTCCTATTATTTTTAACAATCTAATGGTTTAATAATCCAACAGGAATACTGTAATATTTGCCACTTTGCTGGGGTTTTTTCCTGAGCATTCTCATCAAAATAACTCAGCTGTCATTCATGGCTCTGTGCTGCTCGTCTTTATCCAATGTGCCATTACAGAGGTCATTAAAGTATCAAATTAAAATACCCTTAAGATATTCCTTCCATCTTTCTATAATGTAATGCTTTGTAACTAACAAATTCCTATATTTGTCTTTTGTCAGACTTTTTCATAGTTGATATCCTTTCCTGTGTTCTTTAATGCCCCTGTAAAATGCTCTGACATTAATAATTCTCTCCTGCTCCCTCTTCTCTACTAGCTCTGTAAGTATTAGTT